CCAGATCTGTGATATGAGCTAAGGTCTTAACGGGTTAAGACCAAGAAAGTGAGAAAAGCCATATTGGACGTACGTCGAGCGTAATCCTAGTACGCCCGCGTATTGGGTTGGTGTCCCCGATCATATTTCGTGCATGCGTGTACGCTGAGCGTACCAAGGGAGGTACGTCCCGCGTAACCTCGTTGTGGGCTTTTTGGGCTAAATCTTATATTGAGCCTTAAGGGTTGGGCCTGGATCTTTGGGCTTGTGTACTAGAGATTTTGAACAGAGAAATATTATATATGTGTCTTGGGTATTGTGTTGGGCTTGTCACTTGGACTTGAGAGTTGGGCCTCGAGAGAGCCCATTAATTATTGGGCCTTGGTGGGCCCAATGAGTTTTAGGTCATTGATGGGCTAGTTAGTAGACTACCTTTAGACCTAAAGAGTAAGGATTTGGACTTAGATCTTAATTGGGTAATTGTGGATTTTGGTCCAGTGTTAGAGGCCGGTGCAACAACAGCATCTATAGGAGTTGTTCATCATCCGAGGTGAGTCTTCTCACTATACGTACCTTGAGTGGTAATCTATGTGTGACCGGAGGGTCTTATGTGCTTATATTGAGTATTGTGATATCCTGCATTATGTCTTTGTGATTTATGTTGTGTATTATTCTGTGCTTACTGAGTTAGGACTGGAGTGTCCACCCGAGTTATGGGACCGGAGGGTCCCACTGAGACACATTGACCGGAGGGTCTTATCCGAGTATAGTCATGAGAGGCTAATGAGATATGTGTGGTATTTTGGGGAACTCATTAAGCTTCGTGCTTACCGTGTTATGTGATATATGTTTCAGATTCATCTCAGGATCACGGGAAGGCGCCGACTTAATTGTACACACAAGAGAAATAGTTATGCTTTGAGGATCCTGAATTATTAATCAAACAATTATGGAGTTGTGTTTATAAATTAAATAATTGGATTTTTGTGAAATGAGTTATGAGAATTATGTGATTTTAAAATGAAAATTTTGTTTGAAAATCTACGGTGTTACAATTTCATTAATTTCCTTATTTAATCATATGAATTTATGTGGTATTGTATCAACCAAGATATATTTTCAAACCTTATTTTTATCCGTCTCATCTATACATAAAATTTTGAATCGAAACTTTATTTTGATATTTTTGTTATCCACTTAATAATTTAATTTTTGCAATAACATGTTTCTTCGATTTTATATTCTCTTTTCACGTACTTTCTCAACGATATTATTTTTACAACTATAACTTTTACTTTGTTTTTAAATACTTTTTCAAGATTCATTTTTACGACTTCATTTTCTTATTTTGTTTTAAGTGTTATTTGTACAACTTCGTTTTAATGGTGATAGCGGGTTTAGAAATTAAAGTGACCGGAAAGACAAATTAATAGTCACTCGATGGCTCAAGGAGGGAAAGACAAATTAATAGTCACTTGATGGGTCAAAGGAGGGTGGGTTGGCAACCTGTCCAAAAGGGAGTTATGTTGGTGATTATCCAAAGCAACATAAGGTAAAAATAATGTTATAATAAAACATATAATAAACAAAGTAAAAACATGGGAAAAAACAAATAAAAAAAGTTGTAGAAAAAAAATGTAAAGCAAAATTATAAACAAAAAATGACCAAAAAATATTTTGATGGGAATTTAAAAACTAATTTTAACTTTAACCCTAAAAAAGACGAAATATCTCAAGTGAATGATGGGTGAACACTGCATCACACTCTTTAAAGGTAGCTTAACCTTCTTGTCCTTTTGTCTTTATATGTTCACAAGAAAGGTGTCTTGCCCCCTTTGGCTTTTCTTGCACAACCAAACAAAACCCTATGTTTGGGAGCACTTGGCACTAGAGCTTTCTTGCAATCCTCTTACTCTTCCCTTATTACCACAAATACTAAACAAAAACAAAAGAAAGTCTAACCTTTTGTCATTTGACATTGTTAGGACTTGTTTGGAATTGTGCGTTGGTTAGAGAATAATAAGGAAAGGACTTTTGGCTGTCTCCTCGATTTCCTATCGTTCTTGAGTCGTGACAAAAACATGTGCATAAAGCTCACAATTCAGTGTTTCACAAATGTTGGATATAAATGAACCTAAATACAAATTGTTTAAAGTGGACTCACATATTATTTATTTTATTCTTATATCTCTACACTGTTTGTCTCAATCGGGACATTAACATTCAACCTTTGGTTGACGGGTTTTTTTTTTCGTTAATCTTTAATATCGCTAGGTCATATACCCTTTGGTAAAAAATATTTGAATCGTATATGAAACTACATGAATTTTAAACAAGTTAATAGAAGAAATTGACAAAAGACTTCCCTAAAATACCATTTAAGTATATACTACTAAATTGTTGGGTATTGAACAACATAAAAACTAAGGGTGAACAAAAACCGAACCGATAAAAGAAAAACTGCAAAAACCGCAACCGAAAAACCGAAACCGACGTAAAAACCGATGGTGCAGATTTTATTTTTTTGAAAAACCGAATTTATTGGTGCGGTGCGGTTTTTATCTAGAAACCGGACCACCAAAACCGAACCGCACCGTAAGCTTATTAACAATAAAATAACTCACTAATTTATATCATACAATTATACATATTATTTAAAAAACTAATAAATTCTAATTTATACATATATTATATATTGAACTTGAAGGTAATTAGTAATTAGGTATTAGGTTTGATATGTGAGTTTGTCACTTTGTGTTTGTGACTTAATGATTATGTGTAAAGGTAAACACTGTGTGGGCTACAATTTGCAAGCTTGTAACTTCTAAGCACAAATTTAATAAAAAAAAATGAGCTTGGAAATATGGGTTGCAAATGAAGTTATCAAGTAAACAACATAAAAAACTCAAAATTACAGCTTCTAAATTTGAGGAAACAAAATGACACCATATCATACAATCTTTAATCTTCACATGAACATCACGGTTAAAAAAATCATACCGGTGAACATAAAAAACCGCACCATATGTTTGACTCGGTTTAAAACCGACACCGAACCGGTACAAACTGAAACCGCACTCAAAAACCGCAAAACCGAACCATTGAAAAACCGCACCCAACGGTTTCTAGAATTTAAAAACCGCACCTTGCGGTTTGCGGTTCGGTTTGGCCCTAAAACCGCACCAAACCGCGCCATGCTCGCCCCTAATAAAAACAGATTTAGAGTAAAGCCAAATCTTTTTGACAAATTTAAAGGCTTTTGTGACAATTCCCTTATTGAAATATATATCGACAATATAATCTTAACAAAAGAAATCAATGATATAAATAGATAATACTGTTTAAACTTTAAAGTATAATGATCTAAAAGAAAATTGAATATGAAAATATAATAAATAAAGATGAAATGTTATAAAACACAAATAATAAAAATGTAGATAGTTCACATTGTTCCA